AGAATGTAATTGAAGAGCTTCCATTGCATTTTTTAATGCAGCAAAAGCTCTATATTTGAGCTCCCAAACGAACAGTTAAGCTTTTTCATGAATATTGTGATTTTAATTTTTTTTTAATATGTAAATCACTCGATTATACAAGGAGAGATATTTCTCTCTCATCTCATATGTTATATACCGCTTATTTCAAGATTTCAACTTAAAATCTCTAAAATGGATTATTAAGCTTTAAGCATCCGAAAATCATCGAGTGAAATTGATCTCACACTCTCTGCCTGCTCAAGTGGATTAATGCATGAGCATCAATTATATACTGAATTAACCACCATAAATTTCATAATTAAAGAATCATTTCCCCAATTTATCTCGTAATTTAAATATCTTTCGTATTACAAAATCTTATCAAACCTAAGGATAATATCCTACCCTAATCAAGTTAGGTCAAACGTAATGTCACAATCAATTTGAGTTGCAAGCTTGCGAAAGGACAATTATTTGGCTGAAAATGCCAGGGGAGGAAGAAAAAAAAGAACGGTGCATAAAAATTGTCAATGTCCCAGAGAAAAATTGTCAGCTATTGTTGGTTTAAATCCCATTCAGGGTCTTACTCTACATGTATTGTATTGTGTATTTATAATTTATATATTTATGTCATCTTTTATATAAAAATTATATGTTATAATTTATATTACTATGTAAAATATAAAAAATATATTTTTTATTAAATTTATATATATAATATTTATTCAAATTTTAATTTATATCATATTTATAAGTTTTTAATATTACTTTTGTGTGTTATCATTGAGTCCTATTTAATTGTACCTTCAACTGGCAAAATGGACGATATCAGACAATATCATCTGTTTGCGCAATTGTGTGCCAAAGCAAAGGCTTAGCCCACATGGGATGATCCCACCTAATCGCTATAAATCTATGAACCCTAAATCTCTACATAGAAAATCTTGACAATTTCCATGGATAAGAAGTTTAGTGGACATAGACATTAGACATTGCTTGTTGTTGACGGGGAAAACTCTCCCCGATAGGCTACAATAAAAGTTTCAAACCCGCCCCACCCCAACCCACCCTTACCCTGCCTTTTACTTTTCTTACTATACTTTTTTTCCTTTCTGAAACATATATGCTTATTTTATACTAGAGGGTTGCTTAGCTAGATACTAGGAATATGTCTGTGAAGAAGGTAAAAAACAATGAATGATTTTAGGTCAAATTGTATAGTACATTTTTATATTTTGATCAAACGGTGAAATTAGTTTCTTTCTTATAATATGTTTAAATTAGATCCTTATTATAGTTGCTCTCTTGTAATATATTAAAATTGGATCTTTATTATAGATATTTCATTTAGTCTGAAGGCTAAGTTAATTAAATCTAATTTAATTTTAAGCTCAAAAGCCCAAAATTGATTGGGCTCGGGTTTATTCAATAAATTTTTTTTAATTATGATTATTTTTATTTGTTTATATATATATGTTTTTTTCTATTATTGTCCAATTTATTCCATTATCTTTTTTTTATTTTCTTTATCTGTTAAAAAAAGGAAAAAAAATATCCAATATCAATAAAATATGTTTTTCAAATATGATGGTGGAGCTTTTTCAAGAGTGACAACAAATATCTTGAATATTCTTAAGTTGATAAAATATTTTTAAATTTTTTTAAGATATTATTATAATTTTCAATATTAAATTCTTTTGAAAATATTTTAAAAATTTTTACTAAACTTAATAGATAACACAAAATTAATTGGTACCATCTTCAGACATGCACTAAGTATTATAATCTTCCTCATACATAACTGTATTTTCAAACTCTAACTTTAATTTGTAGACTAAAAGATTTTTTAGTAAACCATAATTAATTTTAAAGGTTATTAAAAGATAAGATTTATGATCAATCACACTTAAATAAAAAAATTATGATGACTCTTGATTTTTACATCTAACGATCGAATTTTCAGATTGATACGTTATAGCACATGTTAATATTAAATCGTAGGTTAAATTTTTAGTCCATCAAAAGCTTAGCATGAAAAATATTTTTAGTTTATATATTTAATTTATTAACTTAAAGTTGTGATAGAAAAAGAAAACCAATTTTATAGAAAATATGTTTTTATGGCAAAAGATTAAATTAATGATTGCTACACTATTAATGTAATTTTTTAATTTCATTAATGAGATCAAAAAATTGATGCATGTCTCATTTGTTTTTAATTAATTTTTTATTTTTAAATATAACCCAATAGGTATATACTACCCTACTAACGCCACTTATAGAGTTTAAAATTTCTAAAAATAATGAATTAAATAGTTTTTAGAAATTAAAAATCAATTATGAATAGAGTAATCTCTAAAATGCGAAAAGGTTGAGAGTCAATTCCTTCTTTCCAACTTTTTTCCTTTGCTTTGGAAAAAAAAAAAATGCTACTTGTTTTTTTCTTATGTTATCCTTCTTGCTTTGGATTGGAGGTAATTTTACTTTGTATTTTTTATTATAATTTATATGTAATTAGTTGATTATTTTTTGTTGCTATAAGACAAAAATGATTGATAGCATTTTCTAATATGTTTGTCAAAATATCATTAAATAAGAGTGCAGTGGCAAAATTGAACCTTAGTTATATTATAATAGTAAAATTGCCTTTTATCTTTATTTTTTTAAAAAAATAGAGATACAATTTTATAGTTATTTTTAATTAATAAAAATTAAAAAATAATATAAGATTAATGTAATTAAATAATTTTTAAAATAAATTTGACTTAACACATTAAAAATTCATATCATTAAGGTTCTGATACTAAATATCCAAGCAAAAGTTAATTAATAATTAATGAATAAACTCAATTTAAATACATAAAAATTCAAAATATAACGGACACAAAATAACAATATTTAAATTTTTAATGTATGATTTTCATGAAATACATTCCAACTTAACTTGGACACAAAGATTGAGCAATTATTATAGATTTTTCTAATGTGTACATACACATGACGACAGAGAAAACGAGTCATTAATTGTCTTCTTTTAACTTCATTTATTCTCGTTGGATATTAATTAGCAAGGTTGCTTAAGCTAAACATATGATCTAATCTCACCAAAGAGCATCATAAATAGATGATGAGTAAGCAATTATAGTGAAAGACAAACTCAATGCGAACCATCAATCAATTGTCGTCCACTACTGGGAACAACCAAAACGAAAAGGGTTCATCAAATTAATTAGGATATTTTTTATTTTTTTTCCTTTATTTTTCTTTCTTTTTACTAGATGCCAAACAACCTTGAGGTCAATATGGTGATGAATACAAACATCTTTGCCTACCTATCACTTCCAACTTTTTTTTATTTAGGATTTTTCAATCAAAAGATTACTCTAAAACAAGATTAAGACAAAATAAATTACACACACAAAAAATAATATTTAATATAATTTGGTTCAATTGTATATAAAATGCTTTACACATAAGAGAAAAGAATTTACTATAAATATAGAGATCACAAATAATATAAAAAATTAAAAAATAAACGTTAATCTCGAGCTCTTAAAAAACTCTTAGTTTTTAATTTTTTAATTTTTAACTTATAAAATATCTTTTAGCCGATGCAATCCAATGTTTTTTCAAATTTTTTTTCACATCTTTGCAAATCTTTTTCTCTAGAGATCACAATAGTGATTATAACTCTCTCTCTTTAATAATTTTAAAGATTAAAACTCACTCTCTATTTATAGAGCCTCATATTTTGATCACGAAAAATTTTTATTTATTAGGTACTCTTACCTATCAAAAATATTTATCGTTAATTAATTATCAAATAATTCTCTAATCAATAGAATTTTACTAAAATTCAAATTAATTTTCTAACATCTTTCCTTAATTCATAAAGTTCAAGATGATTTGAATGGAATTTTAGTTTAATAGGTTAATATAAGGATTGTTTAAAAATATCGACTAACAAATTTCAAATTCAAATCTTAATACTTACAATTTCTTTCTACATCTCCAAATGTGATCTCATTTGTGGAAAAAAAGAATTCATAATGATTCTCCATTTTTTTAGCTATAACTTTCTCTTTATACCTTCCTTATCCATAAAACAAAAAAGTCTCCATCAATGAGTTAACCCCTGGAAAAGAATATGTATCCGTTTTTTTTTTTTTATCAACTTGGCATGTTTTATATCTCAACAAAGCTTTAACAGCCAGTGTAAAAGAGTACTATAATAAACCAACTGATTAGATTTGGGGGACATTTAATCTGTATTATCAGTGTCTGCTAGTGATTAAGACCTTAAACTTCAGTATTGATCACAGCAGATTAACGTGGAAGGAATCCTTTGGACGATGTTGCTTTGATGATCCCTCCATAAAAAGATAGGGTCGGTCATTCAGTAGCGGTGGGTCAAACTTGCTTAGCTCATAAATGTTGTGACAAAACTTTGCGATCAAAAGTAAGCCTAAAGAGTTGCATTATTTTCTCAATTGATACATCCAACAATCCTTCAAAAGGAAACATGTAATTTAATTCATGTTCCCTGCAAAGTAGAGCCAGATAATGCGATATTAAAATGGATGTCTTATGGCTGTCCATGACCAAATTTCTGTGCTTCACCAAGATATTAGAATAGCAAAAGAGGGCAATTTTTTACTTCAATTTTCACTTTTTGGACCGGGAACAATTCTTTTTCTCGAACTAATCTCAGTAGTGAATACAAATTTCTCTATATGCAGGGGTTTTTGGGTTTTGTCCAATATGTTTTCTTTTCAGATTGATCCAAATAGATTTATTTATATTGAATCTAATAAATTCATGTGAAATTACCTTATCATAAATCATAACCTCCGAGCATGTTCGAACTCAAGTAACAAAAAGAGGAACACACTCTTTATGCTACTTTAGCCAACAATCCATTAATATTTCTCTTCTATATATTTTACTCACTTCTCTTTCTTCCACCATATGCTCTCCCTCTTCTACTTGTCTTTTGTGAGAATTATGTCAGACCATCAATTTTGTTATTCAAATTATGATTCTCAATCTCAGTCTAACTCTAACCGCTTTCAATCAGATTCCAAATCTCTATGGTCTCAGCCAAGCCTCCCATCAGTTCCTTCCCTCACCTCCCAAATTCACCTGCAACAATACTATCTTTCCAACATCCAGCACCACTGCCTCACCACTCTAAAAGGCCACACCTCCTATGTCTCCTCTCTCACCTTCGCTGGAAAGTTCCTTTATTCAGGCTCTTCTGATAAAGAAATCAGATTATGGAAGCGCAACACCGAATTTGAATATGAAAATTTAACCAATAACATACTAGCTGTGGGAAAGGGTGCTGTGAAGTCCTTGGTGGTGTTAACTGATAAGCTCTTCAGTGCTCATCAAGATCACAAGATACGAGTATGGAAAATTAATAATGATGATCCTGATAACCAAAAGTACACTCGGTTGGCAACCTTACCAACGTTGAGTGACCGTGCCACGAAACTTCTCCTGCCCAAAAATCATGTTCAAATTCGAAGACACAAGACGTGCACCTGGGTCCATCATGTTGATACAGTATCTGCACTGGCCTTATCCAGGGATGAGACCCTTTTATATTCTGTTTCCTGGGACAGGACACTCAAAATCTGGAGAACCAGTGATTTCAAATGCTTGGAGTCAGTAACAAATGCTCATGACGATGCAATAAACGCAGTGGCATTATCCAATGATGGAGACGTTTACACAGGATCAACTGACAAGAAAATCAAGGTGTGGAGAAAAAATTCAGGAGAGAAAAACCATTCTCTAGTTGCTACACTAGAAAAACATAACTCCGGGATCAACGCTTTAGCAATAAGTCTTAACGGGTCTACCTTGTACTCTGGTGCAAGCGACAGGTCCATAGTCGTCTGGGAGAAGGATGGAGGCGATGGCATGAGAGTGGCTGGTGCACTTAGGGGGCATACAAAGTCTATATTGTGCTTGGCAGTTGTGTCGGATTTAGTTTGCAGTGGTTCAGCAGATAAAACAATTAGAATCTGGAAGAAAGGGGCAGATGGAAATTATTCTTGTTTGGCAGTCTTGGAAGGGCATAATGGCCCTGTCAAGTGCTTAGCCGGAGCAGTTGATCGTTTCAACCCTTCGGATACTTCCTATGTTATTTATAGCGGAAGCTTGGACTGTGACATCAAGGTGTGGCAGATTGTTGTTCCCGTCCTCTAGAGAGGACTTGGTTTTTATTACTTATATTCTTCTCCAAGCCATTTTTGTACTAAGAAAGCACAGTGTTTGTAATTTGTATATTTATTTTCTGAATTGGTTTCTATGGCTAAGGCTGTAGCAGGTATTAATGTTGAGTCATGAGAATTCTAATTTCTCAACAAGCAAATGACTTGCAACCATTGACTTCATAACAGGCAAAAAAGTAAAAGGTACAACGAGACAATAACTACTGTTCTTGGGTTTAGTTGTCAAGAACCTACCTGCTGCTTACAAGCTGTTTCACCTTTCTATCACCAAGAAATTACTTGCAATAATTATTTCTGAGTAATTACTAATATTCAAATCAAACACTGGAAGCTTCTGCTTTTTTGAGTAGTTTAGTTGCCGAGCATCCATGATCCATCCATATCTATCCGGACAATTCCCTATTTTTGTGTGACTAATTCCCTATGTTTGGATTAGTTGGCAGTATTCACGCTTGGAGATAGTAAGTTCGGAGGAACTTACACTCTTAATATCCTCTTCAAGTAAGAGTAGGGGATCAGCGGTAGAATAGGAAATTAAAAAAAGGGAATGTCAAGGCAAATCTTGGTTGGGATTGTGGGATTCTATTATGTGTAATACGAGACTAGTAACGCATTGCCAAAAAGCAAGGTTAATCATGCTTAAATCCATGCTTTCTTTTTCTTCCCTATGAAGAACTGTCAAGCATTATTTTAAGTTGGATTATCCATCTTCAATATGATATATAGGAAACAGAGATAAGGATCTTACTTTAACATTAAGTTTAGCAATTTATATAAAGTGATGAATGGTACTACTGATTAGGATTGATCTTCATTGGAGGTGAAAAAGTTATAAACAGAACACATGACTGAGTGGTTAACAAAATAAAGCATTTTCATTGGATAGAATAAAGTTAAATGTTCTAAGAACTTGACCTGAATAGGCAGTCTTCAAAATTCAGACCCCAAACCACAAAAGGAAAAAATGGTGGGGAAGGGAGAAACTAAATTGAAGTTGTCTTCTCCCGAACAACGTTAGGCAAAAGGAAAAAGCAGTTGAGAAAAGACTAGCTTTGTTTGGTAAGAAGATGAAAAGAGGAAAGGATAAAAAACTTTATTACTTCAATGATTAAAATTTATAACTACTTTTTTATTTTATAGCTTAACCATTAGATTAACAAGCTTTTCATTATTGTTCCTTTCTATCTTCTCTATCAAGTAAAGGCTAAGCAAACAAGTAGATCTCAGTGAACAAATCTTACGGCTCACCACTAGTCTTTAAACCTTAAAATTAGAGTAACTAGCAAAAGGAAGAAGGTATTCTTAAGACTCGTGCTTCGTTTTGGAAACATAAAAATGGGGGGAATGAATTTAACTTTGGTTTGTCAAATGTTTTGAGGATGATTGTATAATGCTTGTTATGTAATTATGAATTTAATAAAGCATAAGAAAATAAATTTAGAATTTAGTTTTCCATTAAGGTCTTTAACAAATCGATGGGTTTAAGGATAAGAACGAAAGCCCTGTATTGATAAATCCTACCATACTATTTAAACCGAATCAGTCTTGCTATCATATTCAGGATACAAAATGTAACCTAAATAAATTTCATTATAACTAAATGTTAGTTAGATAAAGAAGCCAATCATCATTACAGAGAAAAAGGTAATACTAACTTAAATATAGAAAAACTGTAAAAAAAAAAGTTCAATAATCAAATCAGATGTTTGATTATTTCTTAACAAGTGACAAGAAGTCTGGGAATGTGAAACGTGGCAGTATGATATCACAGAGATCTGCCTTAATAATCTTCAACTTAAAATGCAAAGATACAAGTTCAATGGTATGACCTACTTACCTAATTACAAGTGGCTGAGAAATTAGGTAAATATCACTATTCTCATCCCACTGTTGTAACCTAATTTCCACCCATCTATTGTTTGTCTTCAAAACCCACCTCTTTATATATAACTATATATACTCTGCCGTCTGGAGTGTAGAGGTAAATAGATATACTATTCATGTAACGCTTCCTTCAAAAGTACTCAAATAATTTTTTTTTTATGTATGCTATACTCTACTACGCTATAATAATTATGTTTCATGTCTAAAAAGAAACCAACTTCTCCTAATTGGGGGTTTTGTGTTTTCATATCTATATGCCATGTCAAGTGCTTAACTGGAAAGTGTATGCCTTTTTATACTTTTTACATGCATCAGATGAATATGTGAAAAATTATTAGCCTGTACACATAGCAACAAACCATCAAGATTTCCTTGTCAAATCTACAAAATAAAAAATGACTTAAACAACCCTTTACATCTTAAAATAATAATGTATCATAAACAGACACCGACACTGCCTGTCCCGCATATAGAGTTAATAGATGCTTCTTTCTTAGTGCAATGCATTGGATTATATTCATACTCAATTGTTTTATCATACTTTTAAGGGGTGACTTGGTTTGTGGATTGGAATGCCTATGGTAACAATTCATTAACAAATTCCTTACAGGGCAGAATTTGTCCCCTCCAGATTTCAGTTTCCTTTTTTATGAAAGCAATTTCATGCAGCATATATTTTAGAAACTCATGTCATAAATAAATGTAAGAACAACTTGTTTTGCAAAAGCCAGAAGGAAGAGACTGATTTAGAATCTCGTCATCCAAGTTAGAAAAAATTATTCCCAAGGATCCAAAATAACAAGCCAAATATATTGAGAAAAACTGAATTTGCATATCGAGCACAATAGTCCACTCCAGACTGCAGAGAATAAAGGTCTTAAGCTTATTCTGAACCCAAAACGAAGTTGTTCAATAAAAAAATAATAATTTCGGAACAGAATTCATGCATTTGGAAGTACAGGAAGCATAACAAAATGAAGCTGACCGCAGAACAGACAGTGGTACTTTTGTCAGTGTACCTGGATCACATGGATATTCTCTTGGCGTGGAGTGATTTTTTAAGCAAATGATAGCAGTTCTCCGTCCATGTGGGCTGTGTGATTGCGCTAGATGCAATTGGCAAAGCAACATAGAAAAGTTTCATAAAGGAAGCACATAAATGCGAGGTCAGTTTCACAGTTAAACTTAAAAAATGAATGAATGAAAAGGACAAATGATTACAAAGTTAAACTAGATTTATTAAAAACATATCCAACTAAACAATGACAACGTCATTGGCAACCAGGAAAAAAGAATAGGAATCACAAAGAGAATGTGTCTGTCATGAGGAAATCCAAATTTTGCAAACAATGACCAAACTTTTCAAGCCTTTCTTTCAAACATAAGCACAACTAGAACAATCTGTAATACTTCACTGAACTTACTAGAAAGGAAAACCCTGATCTTTGTATCCAAGGCCAATCTGTAAAATCCAATCTAAATGGAAATTTAGCTGACCATTTGGTGCCTGATATTGCATTCACCCTCCATGTGCGTGTGCACACGCATGAAAGTACACATGTGAATAAGTGCACTTGGATCTGACTGGACTGTCCTTACCATAGCCCAAATCCCTTGATCACTCTTTGAGCAACAGAAATCTGTATCATTTTGGTTTTGAAATAAATAATCATCCTCATAGGTCCCTTAGATCCTATCTGCTTAATCCTCCTCCAAATTCCTTTGATACAAACACCCAAATTTTTGCATCTCCTAAAAAAGAATTGATTCATAGAATTATAAAGTTAACTACACATGTTCACAATAGATGATCACCCACAATAATATCAAATTCTTCAGAATCTCATAAATGTTTCTCCATATCGTACGGAAGGAAAAGTTGACAACAAAAAGGAAAGGGGCCCATTATTTTTTAGTTGAACCACTCTAGCAGGCCGATTACTCTATTTATCAATCAGAGTTAAAGATCTTGACCTGCATATAACAAAATGAATGACTTTGGTCCTGTACTAAATCTAGTAAAAGTACATGATGTACATGGATTTTACATTTATAGAGAGCAATGACGCCATAACTATTTAACTTTACTTACTAATAAAACCAATGAGGCTCAATGGAAACCATGCAAAGCAAATGATGCATAGTTATAGGGCGATCAACAACCTGCTTATTTTTATCCATCATGCATTGCATACCACACCGACAGAAATATGATGAACATACCTGAGCAGAGTTGCAATATTAAGCACCCATCAATATGATTGCACTTTCCGCATTTCTACCTTCTTCCTGTTAAATGCACCGCATGCAAAAAAGTGGTTGACAGTTTACATTTTTAGGAAATATAAAGGAAGAATTAATAACTAGACCTATAATTTAGTGAAATTTGAATATACGAAACAACAACAGGTTCACTGAAAACAAACCTCTTGCACAAACTTTTATTTCAAGTTGACTGGAGATATGATTATCCACAAAGTTTTAGAGAAAGAATAAAAAAGTACAAGTAACAACAACAACAACCACAAACTAAGCCTTATAAACAACAACAATAAAAAGGTATAAGTACATAAGTTAAAAAATAAACTGGTGCCTAAAAACATTTCATAATGAAATGGTTAGAACTTTGAAATAGGGGCCAAATCAGAAAATGAATGAAAGTTGTATGGGATTTCTCTAAAAGCAATACATAACTTTTCTTTTTCTAACAGCCAAAATAGTAGCTAAAGTTTAATGCTAAGAACAAATTACTCATTTATCAAAGTCATTTCCAAGGTAAAATTCAAATACTTGAGGATGATGACCTTTTGCAGCTACAAACAACCCACCAACACGAACCAGAGGAAGGCAGTATTTAGCTGAAAAATAAAAGAAACCAAAATAACCCATTTAACCAGTGATAAAGCTTGCAATCTTGGATAAATAAAATAATTTCAATATAAGAAGTTAGCATATCATAATTACCTAAAACTCTCATTTCTACAACTCTCCTGGCTACTGCTACATCACATTTCTCCCTAAAGTTGGAATCCTGCCCCAAATTCTGTCCTATGATAACGGTTGGACTATGAATATTAGCCATGAGAAGATAAAGCTGAGTAATGCACTCAAATTCAATTTTTTTTTCCTTTTACAAAGATATTCAATTTCAAATAATGACAAAACCCTATAAGGGTTGTTGAAAAAAATACCTCTGCTCTTTCTCTCACAACCTGAACATTCAACAGTCCGGTGAGGCTCACTGCGTGCTCCAAGAAAAGACATCGCTTCTTCATAGATTCCACCAATGTTACTTCCCAACCTACACATTTTCGCGTGATATATGCATAAATCAGAACTAGAATCCACAAGTAAATTCACCAAAATTAAAAACCAATATAAAAACTACTTATAAATTATGACGCCAATATGTGAACATGTAAAGTGAAGTGAGGAAGTGAAACTGGGCAAGCAATAGCTAAAACCAGGCCAGGAAGGCCGTAACTGCTTCCAACATCAACAATTCTGAGGTTATCAAATGAATTGTTACAGCTTGAGATATAAGAGTTTTGTATAGGAGGAATAATTTCAAGGAATTCTTCAATGTGCCTTTCCATTACTTCATCAACTTCGTTCTCAGCAGTAAGATTCGTTTTCTGCAAAGAAAATAACAAACCCATCAAAGGAAAGAAAAACACAAAAATTTCAAAGTTTTGACGGTTTTTCATAGTGGTACCTCGTTCCATTGAAGTAAAGCGTCTACGTAAAGATGAATCTGGTCCTCTTGAAAGGTTTGGCGTCTGGAAAGTGGAAGGTGTTTGACAAAAATTCCCAAAGACAAAGATGATGGGAAGTGTACGTCGAGGATTTTGCAACGGAAAACCAACATCGTTTGGTGCGCGCGCTCCCTTGAGTATAGTCTACAGTCAACACCATGAGTCGCCTTTGGTTTTGTAAGCACTAAGCATGCAGGTGACTG